AAACCAACCTTGCCATAAGAAGATTTGAAATTTCAGCCTCACTCCCATCTCTGTGAAAGTTAGAGGTGCTGATGGTTGAGCTGAATACCTAACGGCACTGTTGGGAACATGCTAACACAGTGGTCCTCAAGCTTTTTGACACCAGGGACTGGTTTTGTGAAAGACAGTGTTTCTATGGCCCCGGGTGGGGTGCATGGATTTGGGATGATTCAGGCACGTTACATTTATTGTACATGTTTTATTATTACAGTGTAATGTGTAATGAAATAATGATTTCAGATTGTCTTGCTACAATTGGATGGTCCCATCTAGGGGTGATGGGAGGCGGTGACAGATCATCAGATATTAGATTCTCATAAGGAGCATGCAGCCCAGATCCCTCTCATGCACAGTTAACAAAAGGGTTCCCGCTTCTATGAGAATCTAATGCCACTGTTGATCTCTCAGGAGGCGGAATTCAACCTGTTGTAACCGAGCCAGAGCGAAATCGCCACTGAGACAAAGACTAGGCCAAACGAGAAGGTCGTTACTCCCGGCGGCCATGGAGGACTCGCGTCTCTCTAACCCGCGGCCATGAAATGAGGGTGTCTAGACCTTTTATGCCTATAAACCACCTCCTGGGCAGGGATGGGGGTGAAAGGCTTCGGACATTCCGAGGGCCAGGGAACTTTGGACATTCCGATTGTTACTTAAGTGGTTCACAGAAGTCAAGATAAGCATTAGTTTACACATTGCCTGGGTAGGGTGGAAGTTACAGACCCTAGTTACTTATTATAAGTCGCAGGGGCCAAGATGGCATGGGTTTGGACTGCTTGCTTGTCACATCAGGGTTACAGAGAGCAGTTTCCACAGAAAGTGAGGTATGGTTGAGGTATGTAGTTTTATGGGGCTTTTACCATGTCACACTGCAGCCATCCTAACCATCCCCACTCCACCAACAGACCCAAAAGCAGTGTGGTCTCGGGGTAACTTTACTATTTTATTTGGGCTTATCACCAGTTAGGCTAATATAGATGGTCTCTGACTTATGGTGGTTTGACTGATGATGTTTCAGCTTTATGATGGTGCCAAGGTGATACACAATCAGTAGAAACCATCCTTTGGGTTTTGAATTTGGGTCTTTTCCTGGGCTTGTGGTATGCTGTACAATACTCTTGTGGTGCTGGGCAGCAGAAGTGAGCAGAGCCCCAAGTCAGCCAGGTATCACCAGGATAAGCGCCCAATACTCTACAGTGTACTGTGGTGTCTGATGATTGTGCCCAACCCTCGGCCAACACACGCGTTCTCAGGATGTTTAAGGTAGGCTAGGCTAGGCTATGATGTTCAGTAGATTAATTAAATGCATTTTTGACTTAGGTATACATATAGAGATATATAGATACAGACATATCTATAGGGTTGGGCGCAGTGGCTACACCTGTCATCCCAGCACTTTGGGAAGCTGGGCTGGTGGATCACCTGAGCTCAGGAGTTTGAGACCAGTCTGGGCAACAGGATGAAACCTTGTCTTTACTAAAAATAGAAAAAATTAGGTGGGCATGCTGGCGCACGCTTGTGATCCAAGCTACTTGGGAGGCTGAGGCACAAGAATTGCTTGAACCTGGGAGGTGGAGGTTGCTGTGAGCCAAGATCACACCACTGCACTCAGACCTGGGTGACATAGGGAGACTCTGTCTCAAAAAAACAAAAGATACATCTATAGATAGATATACATATGTTGATATATATAGACATATAGATATGGGTATATCTATAGATATATGTAGATAGATAGATCTAAATGTGTGTGTATATCTATGTATATATGCACTTTTTTTTTGAGACAGGACCTCATTTTGTCACCCAGGCTAGAGTGCTGTGGTGTAATCTCGGCTCACTGCATCCTTGACTTCCTGGCCTCAAGGGATCCTCCTTCCCCAACCTCTTGAGTAGCTGGGAATACAGGCATGCCACCAAGCCCAGTAAATTTTATTTTATTTTATTTTTGAAACAGGATCTCACTATGTTGCCCAGGCTGCTCTCAAACTCCTAGGCTCAAGTAATCCTCCCACCTCAGCCTCCCAAAGTGCTGGGATTACAGGCATAAGCCACTATGCCTGGCCAGGTATTTTCAATTTACAATGGGTTTATCTGGATGTAACTCCGTCACAAATTGAGGACCACCTGGATGTACTAAGAGGAGAGAAAGGGCCTGCCCTCCTTAGTCTTGTTTGCGGGCTCCTCCTCCACCTCGGTGGTGTTGTCTGATGAGCCTTGGAGATGGTCCTGGGCCTTCTTCTCCCCTCTCTCCCTAGGCAATCTCCTGCATTCCAAGGCCCCCCTTAGAAACTATATGCCAAAACCCCTACATTTCTATACCTAGTGTAGACTTACTTTCTTCCCAGGTCCAGACCAATGTACCCAACTGTTTTTATTACTATTATTGAGATGGAGTCTTACTCTGTTGCCTAGGCTGGAGTGCAGTGGCCCCATCTTGGTCCACTGCAACCTCCACCTCCTGGGTTCAAGCGATTCTCCTGCCTTAGCCTCCTAACTGGGATTACAGGCGCAGTCCACCACGCCTGGCTAACTTTTTGTATTTTTAGTAGAGATGGGGTTTCATCTTGTTTTTCAGGCTGGTCTCGAATTCCTGACCTCATGATCCACCTGCCTCGGCCTCCCAAAGTGCTGGGATTACAGGTGTGAGCCACCACACCCAGCTTATTATTATTATTTGGTTGTTTGTTTGAAATGGAGTCTTGCTCTGTTGCTCAGGCTGGAGTTTAGTGGCATGATTTTGGCTCACTGCAACCTTCACCTCCCAGGTTCAAGCAATTCTTCTGCCTTAGCCTCATAAGTAGCTGGGATTACAGTGCATGCCAGCACATCTAGCTAATTTTTGCGTTTTTTTGTAGAGACGGGGTTTTCCCCATGTTGCCCAGGCTGGTCTCAGACTCCTGACCTTAACTGATCCACCCACCCACCTCAGCCTCCCAAAGTGCTAGGATTACATACATGAGCCACTGTACCTAGGCCACCTGTTTATTCTGTTGGATATTTATGTGGCAATCTCAAATTAAACAAGCTCAAATGGAAGTCCCAATCTAAGCCATCACTTCCTCCAGGGTTCCCTGATTCAGCACATGGCATCATAATGCAGCATCTTGCTCCTGCTAGAACGATACAATAGGTTTCGTCTTTATCTTCCGTTATGAACTGAATTGTGTTCCCTTATAAAATCCATATGGTGAAACCCTAACCCCCAGTATCTCAGAATGTCACTGAATTTGGAGAAGGGCCTTTAAAGAGGTAAAAGCCTTATCTCCAGGTGGGGTTAACTGTATTAGGGTGGGCCCTAACGCAATCTAATGGGTGCCTTTAAAAGAAGGCGAGATGAGGACACCAAGAGATACCAGGGATGTGTGCACAGACGAAAGCCCATGTGAGCGCACAGAATATTGACATCCACAAACCAGGAAGAGAGGTCTCAAATGAAGCCAACCCTTGATTTTGTAACCTTGATCTTGCACTACTAACTCCCAGAGCTGTGAGAAAAATAATTTCTGTTGTTTATGCTACCCAGTGTGTGATATTGTGTTACAACAGCGCTAGCAACCTAATATACCTTCTTCCTCTAATTAATCATCAAGTCCTACTTACTCTGCTTCCTATCTCTTTAGGCTAACCTCACCATATCCATTGCACCTGCCCTAGCCCAAGCCCCTGTCAAGTATTTTACGGATGCCTGCTACATGTAGCCTTCCAAAGGTCTCTCTGCGTTCACTCTCACCTCTCTATAATCCAGCCTCCAAAGGGAGGCCAGAGCAATCATTTAAAAATGAAAGTAGAATCTCGCTGGACACAGTGGCTTACGCCTGTAATCCCAAAGTGCTGATTTTGGGAGACTGAGGCAGGCAGATCACGAGTTCAAGAGATCAAGACCATCCTGGACAACATGGTGAAACCTCCTCTCTACTAAAAATACAAAAAGTAGCTGGGCATGGTGGTGCACACCTGTGGTCCCAGCTACTCGGGAGGCTGAGGCAGGAGAATCGCTTAAACCCGGAAGGCCGAGGTTGCAAAACCTCTGGTTTTCGAGCCCATTCATACCCATCTCCCTCTACTCAACCAAGAAGGGTATACAAGCATCTGGACCTTACTGAGTTGTTGAGTAATCATCTGGACCTTATTCAGTTATTGGGTAATCACTCTTCTGTGATTTTTCCCTATGCACATTAAGTAAACTTCGTATGCTTTTTTCTTCTACCAATCTGTCTACTCAGTTCATTCTAGAAACCTTCAGAGGGAGAAAGTGGGGGCCTTCCCTCTTGCTCCCTGCGCCGCGTTAAATTTAAATATAAATTAAATTATTTGGGAATGAGTAAGCTGCTCATTTCCAAACTGCAATTTTCATAGGTATGAAAATTCTCCACAAACCGCAAAGCCACTGCATTCCAAGGGCCCAAGAACCTAGGTTGGACAGCTCACTTAGCGCAGGTAAACGTGTTCCACAGGTGTTCCACCCATCTCCCAGCGCGCCTGCCCCCTCACTTAGGTACAGGACCAGGTGCAGGTACGGGGAGGAAGGCCAACGTCTATTGGCCACGGACTCAAGAGGCACGCCCACAGGCACCTTCCGAGCATGCGTGGGGACGTAGCACGCAGGCGCGGCACGCCCCGCCCCGCGCATGCCTGGTGCAAAGCGTCTTCAGGTCGGGCGGTAGATCCGGGCGAGTGCTGCAGTCCCGGCGGCCGCCGTCCGGCATGCAGGTCTGGGGTCTGGCCGCTGCCTGCACCTCGCTCCGGCACCATGGAATGCCTGCGGAGTTTGCCCTGCCTCCTGCCTCGCGCGGTGGGACTTCCCCGGCGGAAGCTGTGTACCCTGGCCTTGGACTTGACCTCTGTGCCTCGTCCCGTTGCTGCGTGCTGCCGCGCCGCCGACCTGGTTGGAAAGAGCCGGGCGGCGCAGCTTTGCGGGCCCGGCAGGCTCCGTATGGCAGGTACTTGCCCCTCGGCGCCCACAGTCGTGGGACGCTGGTTTTGCCCCAACTACCTTGCGCGGCGCGGCTGTTGCTCCCCGTGTCCTGTGAGCTTGCGCAGGCCCAGCTGCGTCCCACCTGCCCCCCACCTGCCCAGAATGCGACCTTGCTGTGTGCGCAGTGCCCTGCCGGGATCTGAGCGGCCAGCTCTCCGCCTTCTCCCCCACAGCCCTTGCTGCAGATTTTGTAACCGTGGGAACAACCCAGGAATCGTTTACAGGCGGTGCTCACGTTAGTTAACACCCCGCTTAAGTGCTCTTGTGAGAGGCTTTTTGTTGTGTTTTTGAGACAGGGGCTCACTGTGTTGTCCAGGCTGGACTCGAACTCCTAACCCCAAGCCATTTTTCTGCATTAGCCTCCTAAAGCGCGGGGATTACCGGCGTGACCCCTGACACCTGGCTGAGAGGTGTTTTTTTTTTTTTTTTTTTTTTGTTTGTTTGTTTGTTTGTTTGTTTTGAGACGGAGTTTCGCTCTTGTTACCCAGGCTGGAGTGCAATGGCGCGATCTCGGCTCACCGCAACTTCCGCCTCCCGGGTTCAGGCAATTCTCCTGCCCCAGCCTCCTGAGTCGCCGGGATTACAGGCACACGCCACCATGCCCAGCTAATTTTTTGTATTTTTAGTAGAGACAGGGTTTCACCATGTTGACCAGGATGGTCTCGATCTCTTGACCTCGTGATCCACCCGCCTCGGCCTCCCAAAGTGCTGGGATTACAGGCTTGAGCCACCGCGCCCGGCCTGAGAGGTGTTTTTAAACAAGGATTTCATCTTACTGTTCCGAAGTTATAAGCATTCATTTCTCTTCCCTGTCTTCTGTTTCGTCCTTATGGACACATTTATACAGTTATTCAGTTGCTGAGATTGAGGACGCACCTAGAAGTGAGGCTGAAGACTGAGTTGCTTCTGAGAACGACTTGACTTTATTTTCCAATACAGTACTGTATGAGTAAACAGCCAGGGAGATCAGATTGAGGGAAAAAAAGAAATTTTAGTTGCTGTTTATTTTTTCACCAAATGTTGAAGCATGGTGAAAAGTTAAGATTTTCACAAATGTGAGTGCAAATATTTGAGGAATAAAAGGTGTGGAAATCAGTGACTTTATCGAGAATATAGCAGTGTTCTCAAATTATGTTTTCTCAGTTGTGCTCTCAAAAGCCTCCCACAGTAACTCCTCCTCACCACGTCCTTACCCACTTACTAGAGAGTCTTTCTAAATTGGGTTACATGCCCTGCACCCTCCATTGATAGTGCTTGAGAATCCAGTTTTATTAAGTTGGAGAAATCTTTTACGACAAGCAGAGTCTCTATCCTGGTAAAACCCTATCTAAAATGCTAAAACATTTAAAGGCGTTTGTCATCAGCAAATGCCTTGGCGTTTATTCTTCTTATCCTTATAGTGATAGTTTGTATTTTGTAAAAGGGAAATGAAACTTAAGATATTAATAAATTACAAGAATTATTGCATGTATATAGTGGAAAAAAATTAGAAATAAGGATTTTTTTCTACAGTCTCTGGAGTCATCGTGATTACGTTGGAAGCATGAAACAACGTCCTCTGTCATTAAATGTACTTGATTACACTTCAGAGGTCACTTTGACTTAGTGTAATCACGTGTTTTCAGTAGACTAATTTGCAAATAAAGATTTGTCCTCATTCCAGTTCAGTGGGGTATTTTATAAGTATTCACTATAAAGAATATCTGTGGAGAAGAAGTAAGATCCATAGGTTTCATAATTTATAAGCCGGTCAAATAATTCTGATACTGGAATGCTTGAAAGAGGTGGTACTTAGGACATGTGTTTTCTAAAATGTATCTACTAACAAATGTGCATGAAGAGGCTTTTAAATTATGCAAAAAGGAGGACCAGACATTTTCTTAAATCTCAGAATACGATGTTGCACATTCCTTTATCCAACTCGGAGATATCAACAATAATTAGTTAAAAGGGTGATTGGAATCCATCAGTTATTTTAAAGCCTCTCCTAAGCCTTTACTTTTAAAAGTTATTCCCTGCTAAACCTAAGGTAATCACCAACAAATATTAAAATTACAACAGTATTTCTTCTTTTCTTAATAGGAAAAAGACTTAAAAATAATTTAACAGTCTGAAGGCCTCCACATAGTATGAGAGTTGTGTTTTAGCTCTGTGTGAAAACCAGTCGTATGACCACAAGGAATTTTCTTAATTTATTCTTCAGGTGAAGTGCACCGGTTTAGAACTTCTGATGCCTCTCAAGCCACTTTAGCGAGTGTAGCCCCAGTATTTACTGTGGTGAGTATGTACAGTACCTTGGAAATCAGACAGAAAGTACTTCCCATACTTATTAACTCCTTGGACTGTTGGCCAGTTTACTTATTTTGAGTTTTATAATGAATCATTATAGTTGCTTGTCCTGGCTGTTGTCCCGGGCCAGTGACCTGAGCGCCTGCTAGATTGGCTTAATAACAATCTTGAACCTTGGCTAATGACTGCAGCTCCCCTTTTAATACTAGAACAGATCAATCACAGTTTAGAGCTGCAAAGAGGCTTGAATCTGTGGTTTGCAAGATAATACGCAGGCAGAAGCATCTTGAAGGCAGCAGAGTATAGTATTTAAAAATGAATGCTTTGGGAGGTCATGAAATCTGTAACTTTTCTGTGAAATGGTTTGGGTGGCGGGAAGGTAATACATATCACACACAGGTATTTTTAGAGAAAGAGGAGGCTGTGGGGGCAAAATATTAACAAAGTTGACTGTAGGTGAAGGCTATATAGGAATTGGCTGTAATTTCCTTTATGCTTGCAACTTCTTTGTAGGCTTTTATTTAAAAAAAAAAAAAAAATGCTTATAAAAACGTGTACCTATTCTGAGCCAGACTTCCTAAATTCCAATCTCACTCTGCCTTGTATTGACTAGGTGGTCTTGGAGAGGTTAGGATAACATCTTTACACTTTAGTTTTCTCATCTGAAGACTGAGCATAACCTACCTTATAGAACTGTTATGAGGATTAAATTAACTCATATGTATAAAGCCCTTAAAGTAGTACCTCACATATACTAAGCCCCAAATATATGTCCTTATTAGGATTTTTTAGCGTTAAGAGCTTTTCTTTATAAACTGTACAGAACTAAATAACCCCTAGAACTGCATTTAAAAGTTACCACTGTTATTCATTGTTCTGGAAGAGTTGGCCAGTGTGGTTAAGAATACAAAATCAGGGCCAGGCATGGTGGCCCATGCCTGTAATCTAAGCACTTTGGAAGGCTGAGGCGGGCAGATCATTTGAGATCAGGAGATTGAGACCAGCCTGGTGAACATGGTAAAACCCCATCTCTACTAAAAATATAAAAAAATTAGCCAGGCGCGGTGGCTCATGCCTGTAATCCCAGCACTTTGGGAGGCTGAGGCAGGTGGATCACAAGGTCAAGAGATAGAGACCACCCTGGCCAACATGGTGAAACCCCGACTCTACTAAAAATACGAAAATTAGCTGGGCATGGTGGCATGCGCCTGTAGTCCCAGTTACTTGGGAGGCTGAGGTAGGAGAATTGCTTGAACCCGGGAGGTGGAGGTTGCAGTGAGCCGAGACCGCGCCACTGCACTCCAGCCTGGCACCTGGTGATAGCAAGACTCTATCTCAAAAAAAATACACACACACACACACACGTGTGTGTGTGTGTATATACAAAAAATAGCCAGTTGTGGTGGTACACGCCTGTAGTCCCAGCTATACAGGAGGCTGAGTTAGGAGAATCGCTTGACCCTGGGAGGCAGAGGTTGCAGTGAGCCAAGATTTCACCACTGCACTCCAGCCTGGGCAACAGAGCGAGACTCTGTCTCCAAAAAAAAAAAAAAAAAAAAAAAATCGTCAAATATTGAAAGTTTTTTGCAGGTGAAATAATTGCTAAGAACCCTTAAGAATTTCATGAAGCTATGGAATCTGAGAAAAAGAAATTTATGCTGTTTGAAATAGTTTAGAAAGTGAGCTGATTACAAAGTCAATATTTTTTCAATTATAATTTGTATGATTTAAAAAAAGTTTTAAGTTCCATTAAAGAAAAATATGGTATACATAAATGTTGAGATGCAGAAATTTTCACCACATGTTGCTCATTTGGAAGGAGGGAGAGTACAAAGCAGTCCGTATGTCATTAATATGTTTTATTAGGAAAACGTTTGGAAGGATATTCAGTGAAATACTAACATGATTTTCTCTAAAATTTGTCATTTCCGATAATTAATATAGTTTTATTTTACATATCCAAATTTTCTGCAGATTTATGTATTTGTGAAATATAAGGATGAAAGCTAGACTGTTACACACATACAGCTTCCTCTGATACAAATTTTCCTTTAGTGTTCTATGGAACTTATATATTCATATGAATTTTATCTTTGCTTGTGAGAAGCAAGATAAAATATATATAGTGAGTTTTTTTTGTGTGATTAACTTAGCATGCATGTTTCCGTGGTAATAACCCAAGACCTATATTGTACTTGCAACTGTATGTTAGAGTATCTTTCTGAAATATGTGTATGATAGTAAGTAGTACAGCTCAGCACATAGTGGTTTGTTAAATATTTCACAACTTCATGCTTGACTGTGGATAAACATCACAGAAAGAGATTCCCCTACTTTACAGGAAATAGGTGCATTATCTGTATCAAATCCTCCTTCAAACTATCAGAAAAGGTTCTGTAAATCTTTCCTTTTTTTTGGAGAGAGAGTCTCGCTCTGTCGCCCAGTCTGGAGTACGGTGGCACAATCTCAGCTCACCACAACCTCTACCTCCTGGGTTCAAGCCAATTCTCCTGCCTCAGCCTCCTGAGTAACTGGGATTAGAGGCGTGTGCCACCACACCCGGATGATTTTTGTATTTTTAAAAGAGATGGGGTTTCACCATGTTGGCCAGGCTGGTCTCAAACTCCTGACCTCAGGTGATCTGCCGACCTCTGCCTCTCAAAGTGCTGGGATTACAGGCGTGAGCCATCACGGCCAGCCAAGTTTCTGTAAATCTTTGTTGATTTTGCAATACCCACCAAAGAGATTTTATTTTAGCCTCATGCAGACATTTAGATTCACAAGACAGGCCATACTTGGTCCCAGTCTCCTCAGAAGGATAAGGGACAAGAGAAACAGCAGGGTAGTGTTAGGTGTTTCCTCTTCCAAAGAAGTCTTTGCAGCCATCCAAGGGCTTCTTCGTCCTCTGAGAGGTCACCCAGTTACAAGGAGGTAAGATTCTCAAAGGTGGGTGTGAGATTCACCTTGGCTCGAATTCCCATGCGCCACAGTGCCAGTATCTCTTGTAACCATCTCAGAGGCACAGCTTATTCTGGTCATGTCAACTAGAGCCACCACGATCAGGAAAGGGCAGAGAGAGATACTGCTTCCGCCTGATGTCTGTAATTTGTTCATCGTCTTCCCAGCCTAGCGCAGTCTACCAGTCAGTGGTCATTTTTACCATAAGGAATGTTTCCTAGTAACACAACTGATGATACTCCTTTACCAAATTTCTTTTTTATTAATTTTTAGAAATTATTTTTATTTTTCTTTTACTTTTTCTTTTTCTACCACTATAGTAATGAGGACCTTTATCAAATTTCTAGAGGAACCAAATTTCTAGAAAGTTAAGCCCAGGTCTGATTTTTCCTAACAAAGGAAAAAAGGATTTTTTTTAAACCCTTAACTTATAACTGGATTTAATTTTTAAAAAGTCAGTAATGGTTTCTATTTGCATTTTAACATTTTGGGGCTATTACTCACAATACCATTAGTAGCATACTAATTTGAAAGAAAATAATAATTTCTTTTATTCTCTATCTTCAGACAAAATTTGACAAACAGGGAAATGTTACGTCTTTTGGTGAGTATCTGATTAGTATTCTCAATCATTTTCTTAAACATTTAGTGAGTGAATCTGATGGAAATCAAGAAACTGTAGTTTTTGAGTAGAATATTCTTTGCATATGCAGGTGCGTTGAAAGAGGTC